AAAAATTGGAATCAATTACTTGAAGAAAAGGACATTGCAATAAGGACCTTGACATCAAATAATTTAGAGCCTCACGAAAAAGACAACACAAACTAACTGAAACTAAGGATGTTGCAGGTTGAAAAAGAAGATGATGAAAAAACAATGCAATAGTTGAGGCATTCAATTTCAAAGCTTGAAACTGAAAATGTTAGATTGTATGAACAAATTCAAGAACTATCTGTCCAACTACCAACACAACCTCACCAAACACCAAAACAAGTTCACCCCGAAGGTTAGTGAAAATCATGAACCACAAAAAGTTATGTCCTTATGTCAACAAAACTTAAAGAAATTTCTATTTACTAAAATTTTCTCCGGAATTTAATTATATCTGATAACATTAGTTTGGCCAGTTTGATTTCTGCTGCTTATTTGATTTTTTATGTCTATTTGCTTCCATATATGTGTTATTTTCTCTAGATTTTGTAACTTCTCTAACCACATTGATTTTTTGGGATTGTTTGATTTTCACTGTGTATAGTTGGAATGGAAGTGAAACAACAATTTATAATCCGACAAAAAAAAGTGGTAGACAAACAACAACCAAAACCAAAGACAAAAGTTTATGGTAACTGAAAAATATTGAATCAAATAAATTTACATATTGAAATATGATCTGTTACTTCAAAGAAATTTAATTTTTACTGATATTTTCACTGTCTACAATGAAAAAAGATCCTACACCAATAATAAAGAATTTAAAGGCAAAAGAAAGGAAATGAAAGCAAAATCCAGACTTTCAATATCCCAAAGTTGTGAAGATCACTAGAGGTTCAAAGCAAGATACAAAGCCAATAGAGCAAACCACCGAAGACGAAGAAGTACTTGATGCCAATGACTATGTCTTGCCTCAATCGACAAACGTCAGAAAATCTTAGATTTTTCCATCAAGTTTACCGGTTGAAAAATTGGTAAAAAAAACATGTACAATATATCTTACAGCACATATCAAATGTGTCCGGACTAGAGTAAGTACAACAAATAAAATAGAAGATAACAAACAACAATTTACTAACTTATATTGCATTATCAACTATTAAATCATTTCTTTGTCATCTTGTAAGGCTTTCATCTGGACAAGTGAGTTGAATCTCATTATTTTTGAAGATATTAGAAACCTAATAAAGGGGGAAAAAAATGCCAACAATATAAGTCTTTCATCAAATTTCTCTGTCATGTTCCATAAACCTTTATAAACCAATGTTACAATTATAAATAATATTTTCAGGTCATTGATGGTTATGGAGAGATACACTTTGCTAACCAACGGAGAAAATGACAACAAACAACTTGATTTTTTTTCACATACATGAGTTTGGTATTTTACTACTCTTTTATTTGATTTTCTCTAGAATTTACTAACTACTTTCTCTTGTTGAGATACTTCTTAAAGCCAATTGTGTGACTTGTCTTATTTTCTCTAGCTAGTTATGTACATTTCAAATTTCTTTGTGTGTATATTTCTGAAATTCCTGTCATTTCAACTTTCTCCGACCATTGTTTGATTTCCTCTAACTGCAGAACTTCATCAAGATGATAGAAAATCAAACTTTCTGAATCTCATTGTTTGATAAGCATCTTGAACTCGCATTAAGGAACTACAGGTTCCTCCGTTTCCCAATAAATAGCAGTGGCAATGAGAAGTCAACTGATGGAAATCATTGGACTTTGCTTGTCTTGGACAAAAAGGACAATTTATGGAGGTACTACAACTCGCTAAGGACAATAAGGGATAATGCGCACAACAAATATCTCAAAGATGCAAAACAATTGGTAACAAGTGCAAATTTCTCTGATCCATGATGATGTTTATGTAATGATAATTTTCATAGACTCCCATTAATTTGTATCTTTGTGTCCTTGTGTGTAAATTTCTCTGTTATTTAAAAATTATCTTTTTTGCAGCAAGATTATGTGGAGAATTTTTTGAAAGATGTCTTGAAATAGAAGTACAAGCACAACCCTCATTCAAATTGATAGACTCACAAAATACAAATTATGACTTTCAATATGTCGAGAATGTTCCACAATAAGTCAGTGATTCGTAAGTTTCCTACAACATCTATAAATAAGATAATTTAATTTGAATGTTTCTCAAAACTAACTATACCTATAATTTGTATACAATATGGATTGTGGACTCTTTGTATGTTACATAATGAGACAGTATATCAATCATGAACCTATCAGCTCGACATTGTCAACAAAAGATGTAAGGTTGATGAGGGCATAAATCATAGAGAGATTTGCGACTGAAGTTGGCCGGTCATGGACAGAATCAATTCAAATACCACCAAAAGAATTACCAAAAGTATAATAGTGAAAGCACACTAGTGACAGGAAGACAATGCATACAATGTAATTAGGAATAACCCTTCAATATTTTTTTTCATATATTGAAGGAATGATGATGTTTAACACATATGTATATATCTTTTTTTGATTAATGTAAACTTCAAAATTTCATAGCTATCAATGGTTTATAATGCATGCTAAGTGGTGATTGTCAACACAATGCACACAGAGAAAATTATATATCTGAAGAAATTTCTCTGGTTTGAAGTTACCAGAATTTCATAGAGAAATTTATCTTGTATCATGTAAAGAGGGTGCCTATATGATTATGTAATTTGTAATACACTGTGTTGGTACAAAACAATACACAAAGTAATTCATACCATCAAATTCAAAAAGTACAATGCACAAAGTAATTTTCTCTACTATTGACAAATTTTTCGGAATGAATTTGATTGATATAATAAACACACTGCCCAAAGTATGTTTCAAAAAAACACAATACACAGTAATTTACTCTACTATTGGCAAATTTCTCTAGATGAATCTGATTGCTATTATAAACACGCTGCCCAAAGTATGCTTCAAAAAACACGATACACAAAGTAATTTTCTCTGCTATTGAAAAATTTCTCAAGATGGATTTGATTGGTATTATATACACACTTGTTTGCACTCATTTTTGTAAAATTCCTATCGACAGGTGGATTAATTGAATGATGACACATGGCAGTGAAGTCAAAATAAAGTCTTTCAACAGTCAGGGGGTAGGTTGCATTAGAGAGGTTAATCATATGCATTGGATGGTACAGATGATGGAGCAGCTATCAAGCTAGGTCATGGGTTTAGTAGGCAACTTGCACGAAGAGTCATGTGCAAAATTGAAGTTTTTCTCTGTCGATGGAAGGTCCAAAGGACTGAGGGACATGTGGCAATAGAGATTAGTTGCAACAGTTGTGCAGTAACAGTTGCAGGATTTAGGGAAATTATACAATCGTGCAATAGAGAAAAATTGAAAGGTATAAAAACAGAAGGTGCCAAAGGGGAAAGATCAACAACAAATCATCAAACTTATCATAGTTTTTTTTTTTTCCTCTTTATCTTTAGGAGTAATCTACCTTAATTCTTAGGAGTAGATGATCTTAACTTTTAGGAGTAGCTTTCAACAATTTGTAACCTTGTAAACTTAAAAGATTTCAATAGAAGGTTTTCTATGTTTACTTCACTTTTTCAATTGTTAATTGTTCCAAAGAAGTCCTTGTACTTTCATGGCATTAGAACCTTTACACAATTGTCTGATGTCATGTTTGGTTGTTTGGTTAAAATTGTTGTTAAGTATTTGTCGATCAAGACTTGGCATAATTTTTACTAACAACAATGCCCAAAAGTACATTTCAAAAAACACAATATATAAAGTAATTTTCTCTGCTATTAGCAAATTTCTCTAGATTAATTTGACTGGTATTATAAACACACTGCCCAAAGTATGTTTCAAAAACACAAGTGCATTGATCCAGAAATTACAGAGAAAATTACTAAACACAATGCATAACGGACACATTATTTTTGTAATAAGATCCATATCCATACAAATTTCTTTCTATTAACCAACATCGAAAAATGCAACATAAATTCCTCTAACATCCTTAAATGTACTATTCAATCAATAAAATGTATTATCCTCAACTATTTAATAAAGGTTCATTGCATGTCCTCTTATTATGGCAACCAATACTCCCATATCGACTACACTTTATCACCCTTTTAAACTCTCTAGTAGAAGCAATTCTGTTCTTCTTTGGCCTCCCAGCTGGTCTCTTACTCAATAGAGGTAAAATCATAGCATCATCAATGCTACACACATTTTTTTCAACAGTTGGAACTGAGCCAATCGAAAACGAGTATGCTTGACGATACATATCAGTATGAAAAAAATGGTTCAACAAATGAATTCAACTTCTTTTCACTCCTAAAAATTGCAACAATAGCATGTTGACATGGATACCCATTTATTTCCCATTTCCAACATGAACAAGTTCTCAACCCAAGATCAACCATAACCGAAGGAAAACAATGCACTTCAAACACATTATCAGATGATAAACTCACATTCCATATCCTCCCATCCATGAAAGCCTTCTCTAACACACTATCCATACGAGGACACAAAACTTTATTCCATTTACTAGAGAACAGCCTCCTATCAGACCTGATATTCATGATTTGCAACCGTATCATATCCACCAAATTTGTTATTGGCAAGTGCCGAGCTTCTCGTATCCATGAATTGAATGACTCAGCAACATTTGAATACATCTCACCATAACGTTTCCCTGCAAAATATGCATCACTCCAATTTTCATATGGTAAACTTCTCAAGAAAACACTCACAATGTCTCCTCCCTCACTTTTTAATTCATTTAACTTGAAATGAAATGATGCCTTTGTTGGAGCATATGCACATTCTGAAAACTTGGACACAATCGTCTCCCTAACCAAATTTGTGTTTCCACATGACAACTTATCCCTCAAATTTCTCTTTAGATGTTCCAGACAAAATCCATGAAAGCAGTTAGGGAAAAACCTAGCAATCCCCTCCACAATTCCACAATGTCGATCTGATATGAAACTTATCACCCTTTCTGATCCAAATGAATAATCATGGTCACCCTATCCTGTTTTAGGAAGTGATCATAATCAGGGTTTGTAATCTATTACTCTAGTATCACATACAAGAATTTCGTTGTTATGGGGGAAGGGTGACACTAACATGGCATATGAGAGGGAGTTGTGCAGTTGGGGGTTTGAATCTTATCTCTATCAAAAAATTTAACAAATATTTTTTTAAAAAAAATATGAACAAAGCAGACATATATTTAAAAAAAATGTTCTATTAAAGAAAAAAGTAAATAAAAGATCATAGCAGCTTTAAATTTAGACTGGCAGAACATGTAATAGTTCATCAAGAAGGTATCTGACAGACTGTGGGCCATCAATTATCCCAAAGTATAAGTAAAAACCAAAACATAGCTTCAGGCCTTAATCTATGCGAACAGTGATTTTAGAATCCATGTACTGAGGTTGTTACTAGCATTCCTACTAGTAATTTAGGTTTAAGGACATACCTCCACTACAGAAGTTCGTTTTGTTTTCAGAGTTAAGCAATCAACAAGAGCATTCCATTTTCCGGAACAGTTATCAAGGCCACCAAGCCTATAATACTGCTGCATCTCATGGAGTGGAGCTGAGAAAAAATGAATGCCACTAGTTTGACAATCCAAAAAACAAAAACAAAAATAAAAACAAAAAACCACTAAAGAGGTTGAAGAAGGACAAAGTGAATGCCTAGTGAAATTGCAGTAGAGTAGACAATGCATGATCTGCATAAAACTGTCATCAAACTTAAATGGACCCTTAGTGCCTGACAATAGTCTTCAAAGAGTATCTTGGGTTTATGGGGAAAAAGTTAATTAAGCATCTCTCGGCTATCTTTTTATCTTTATTTCCCTTATCTTTCTGGGAGTTTGTAGGGGACAATCCTCAATGGATGCTGTTGAAATAATTCGGTATTCTAATTTTCTCAAGATTTCACGTGAGTACTATATCGATAACTACATGATCAAAAAATATTACTTTTATTGAACTTGTCATTCTTAGGTCTACATAGTTCTATAACAATCTAGAACTTCCACAATCCCTTCTATTGTTCTATGTACAATAATGGATCTAGGAAGCATCTGGAACAATTCTCTTTCACCTAATTATTCAAGGCAAGAGGTGCACCGAGGAGTAAAGGTCTCCAGGGGCTGTTGTTGCTCTATCCAACTTGTTTAGACCTTCATGGCTACTTGGCAATGATGAGTCCCGTTCTATTTTGCATTTTTTTATATTTACAATTTCCAATAATGTTGTATAAACTATTGCTCTAATCAATCAATTAATACCATTGTTGTTCAACATCTGAATTGAATGTTTGGAGCTAAAATGGTTGTAAGAGTAAATTAGAAGCCAAAAAGCGGGGGAGAACTCATCATTATGAGTATTTGTAACTCTAATTATGATGGCTACATAAAAGCAGTATTTGTGCACCGCAACCACTAACGAATAAAAATTTGATCGAGTACGTATCAAATGGAGGCCAAAAAATCAATTTTTTGAGAACTGAAGCAAAAACTAATAATTGTTTCACTCAAATTGTTCCAAATGTATGATCTATAGTTGGCTCTGTATATTGGGGGGCATATTTTTGTTCAAGAGAAGCAGGTTATAGTGCCAGTGAATTCAAGTTTCTAACGTTCCTTTCATGCAAATGAATTCAATTCATGTTAATAGCTACAGTAAAATTGAAGAGAAAAAAAATTTACCTTTAAATCATGAACAAACAAATGTATGCCAGAACCCTAATCATCATTTTGCATATCGAGTAGAATGATTTACAATACAGTGAAATTGAAAAATTAAAATAAAAAAACACATCTTTAAGATTAAAATGAAGATCAGCTTTTTGAAATGATTTTCGTTTTGGAGATCAATTGGATAGAAAAATATCGATTACCAGGTACATGTAGAAAACAATAAAAGGAACTCAAATTGAAAGAGAGACATAAGGAAGGCGTACAATAGCAAAACCAGAGAGCATCAAAGCAGGTGGTGCAGGATAAGCGCCGAGGAACTGATGCTTCTTCTTCCTTCTCTGAAATCATCTCTCCCACTCTCTCTCACTTGCTACTCCATTCAATTGTTGATAATTTTACGTGGAATACTAGTTCCAAAAAAATGTGTATAAATTAATAAATAAATTATTTTTAACGTAAATTATAGTAAAATTCTTAAATTATGACACATTTACATTTTATTCTCTAACTAGCGAATTGGCCGTGTGCAAGCCACACTAACTAATGCCTATTATTGGCTTTTATTGGTGCCCATTACAAAAAAAATTTGATTTACAAAAATCAAGAAAGATAGATGTATAGATATCAGCCTACTTGAAAAATGTAAATAGCCAAGTGTCATTAAAAGCTAAGCACTTAGAAAATAAATCATACAAATAAGCCAAAACTACTTGAAAAGAATATTAAAACAAAACTTATAAAAAGTAATACTTATTGATAATCTATAAATAAAAGTGTGGTGGATTTATCAAAACCAACAATAGAGGCCCTCACAAAAAGATGCAGTGAAATATATTTAAAAAACTTCATCCATTACGTACAGTATAATTATTGTAGAAAACAATTCAAAATAAAAGAATATAAATGTAATCTCCAAATCCACATAACACAACTTATAAACAATGGTAAAGACAATGTGACCATGTACTATGGAAAATAATCAACTCATTCAAATGCACACCATTTTTTCATCTACAAACTTTCCATTCTTCAAGCTTTCTTATCTAATAAGTTTAGTCCCCACTTCTTTCCAAAGGTAACAATTGTAGAAAGTAAATTAAATCCCTAGACAATATAAAGGAGTTAGACATAAGGATTGGATACAACATTGAATACCGATCAAACCTCTCATCTATTGTGACTTTTTTTCAATTCAAACCAAGTTGTAAAGCTTCAAAAGACCCTCGCTCTGGTATTTGATCCAAGCTCTAACAACAGGAAGAATGGATCCACGGAAGTGTAGGAAATCAGATGATGATGTAGTTGCAATCATCCAACAATACAATGAAAAAACCAAAGCATTCTCAATTGGTAAGAAGAACTTCACCTTTATAATCAATGACATGACCTTGATTTTTGGTTTGGAATGTGATAAAGGCGCCATGTCATTAAGATACTCAAAGATGTAAGGTTGTTGAGGGCATAATCATAGAGAGATTTGCGACTGAAGTTGGCCGGTCATGGACAGAATCAATTCAAATACCACCAAAAGAATTACCAAAAGTATAATAGTGAAAGCACACTAGTGGCAGGAAGACAATGCATACAATGTAATTAGGAATAACCCTTCAATATTTTTTTTCATATATTGAAGGAATGATGATGTTTAACACATATGTATATATCTTTTTTTGATTAATGTAAACTTCAAAATTTCATAGCTATCAATGGTTTATAATGCATGCTAAGTGGTGATTGTCAACACAATGCACACAGAGAAAATTATATATCTGAAGAAATTTCTCTGGTTTGAAGTTACCAGAATTTCATAGAGAAATTTATCTTGTATCATGTAAAGAGGGTGCCTATATGATTATGTAATTTGTAATACACTGTGTTGGTACAAAACAATACACAAAGTAATTCATACCATCAAATTCAAAAAGTACAATGCACAAAGTAATTTTCTCTACTATTGACAAATTTTTCGGAATGAATTTGATTGATATAATAAACACACTGCCCAAAGTATGTTTCAAAAAAACACAATACACAGTAATTTACTCTACTATTGGCAAATTTCTCTAGATGAATCTGATTGCTATTATAAACACGCTGCCCAAAGTATGCTTCAAAAAACACGATACACAAAGTAATTTTCTCTGCTATTGAAAAATTTCTCAAGATGGATTTGATTGGTATTATATACACACTTGTTTGCACTCATTTTTGTAAAATTCCTATCGACAGGTGGATTAATTGAATGATGACACATGGCAGTGAAGTCAAAATAAAGTCTTTCAACAGTCAGGGGGTAGGTTGCATTAGAGAGGTTAATCATATGCATTGGATGGTACAGATGATGGAGCAGCTATCAAGCTAGGTCATGGGTTTAGTAGGCAACTTGCACGAAGAGTCATGTGCAAAATTGAAGTTTTTCTCTGTCGATGGAAGGTCCAAAGGACTGAGGGACATGTGGCAATAGAGATTAGTTGCAACAGTTGTGCAGTAACAGTTGCAGGATTTAGGGAAATTATACAATCGTGCAATAGAGAAAAATTGAAAGGTATAAAAACAGAAGGTGCCAAAGGGGAAAGATCAACAACAAATCATCAAACTTATCATAGTTTTTTTTTTCCCTCTTTATCTTTAGGAGTAATCTACCTTAATTCTTAGGAGTAGATGATCTTAACTTTTAGGAGTAGCTTTCAATAATTTGTAACCTTGTAAACTTAAAAGATTTCAATAGAAAGTTTTCTATGTTTACTTCACTTTTTCAATTGTTAATTGTTCCAAAGAAGTCCTTGTACTTTCATGGCATTAGAACCTTTACACAATTGTCTGATGTCATGTTTGGTTGTTTGGTTAAAATTGTTGTTAAGTATTTGTCGATCAAGACTTGGCATAATTTTTACTAACAACAATGCCCAAAAGTACATTTCAAAAAACACAATATACAAAGTAATTTTCTTTGCTATTGGCAAATTTCTCTAGATTAATTTGACTGGTATTATAAACACACTGCCCAAAGTATGTTTCAAAAACACAAGTGCATTGATCCAGAAATTACAGAAAAAATTTCAGAGAAAATTACTAAACACAATGCATAACAGACACATTATTTTTGTAATAAGATCCATACCCATACAAATTTCTTTCTATTAACCAGCATCGAAAAATGCAACATAAATTCCTCTAACATCCTTAAATGTATTATTCAATCAATAAAATGTATTATCCTCAACTATTTAATAAAGGTTCATTGCATGTCCTCTTATTATGGCGACCAATACTCCCATATCGACTACACTTTATCACCCTTTTAAACTCTCTAGTATAAGCAATTCTGTTCTTCTTTGGCCTCCCAGCTGGTCTCTTACTCAATAGAGGTAAAATCATAGCATCATCAATGCTACACACATTTTTTTCAACAGTTGGAACTGAGCCAATCGAAAACGAGTATGCTTGACGATACATATCAGTATGAAAAAAATGGTTCAACAAATGAATTCAACTTCTTTTCACTCCTAAAAATTGCAACAATAGCATGTTGACATGGATACCCATTTATTTCCCATTTCCAACATGAACAAGTTCTCAACCCAAGATCAACCATAACCGAAGGAAAACAATGCACTTCAAACACATTATCAGATGATAAACTCACATTCTACGTCCTCCCACCCATGAAAGCCTTCTCCAACACACTATTCATACGAGGATAAAGAACTTTATTCTATTTACTAGAAAGTAATCTCCTATCAGACCTCACATTCATGATTTGCAACCATATCATGTCCACCAAATTTGTTATTAGCAAGTGCCAAGTTTCTTGTATCCATGAATTGAATGACTCAGCAACATTTGAATACATTTTTCCATAACGTTTCCCCTCTAAATATGCATTACTCCAATTTTCATATGGTAAACTTCTCAAAAAAACACTCACAGTGTCTATTCCCTCATTTTTTAATTCATTTAACTTGAAATGGAATGATGCATTTGTTGGTATGTATACACATTCTAAAAACTTGGACACAATCGTCTTCCTAACCAAATTTGTGTTTCCACATGATAACCTATCTCTCAAATTTCTCTTTAGATAGCAATTAGGAAAAAACCTAGCAATTCCTTCCACAATACCACAATGTTAATCTGATATGAAACTATCACCCTCTCCGATCCCAATAATTCACATAAATGTTCAAGGAACTAACACCAATTGTCTTTTATTCTCAACATCAACAATGGAAAAAGCTATAGGAAAAAACCCTACAAAAAAAATAGGAACAAGCACATTAGATATACACAAGTAGAGAACATTTGCACAATAAACGACCAAAGAAATTTCATACAGTGCCAAAATCCAATGAAAATTCACACGGTGGTCAAATCCAGAAAAAATTCACACAGTGACAACATCCAGAAAAAATTCACATAGTGGCCATATCTAGAGAAAATTCACACAATGGCCATATTTAAAGAAAATTCACAGTGTCAGAGAAAATTCACAAAACATAATCACAAAAACAAAAAATTCACTCAATTTTCACATCTATAGAAAATTCACATACTTGAGAAAATTAGATATATTTACAATTACCTTCGTTTTCATCTTTCCCTGTCGCAGCAAGCATAACTCCTTTGTATCGTCCTTTTAAAAAAGTTCTATCAAGAAACAACAATGTCTGACAATAGTTGAAACCATCAATGCATGCTTGAAAAGCCACAAACACTCTTTTGAAACGCTTTTTATTTTCAAAATCTAACTCAAAACGACTACCTGGATTGTTCTTCCATGTCTTATCAAAATACCGTCGTAATTGATCGAATGACAAACAAGAATCCCCATATGTACTACCTATTGCTTTTTTAACCCCTAACCAACCACAGTTATAACTGATTGAGACTCCATACTTGTCTTTCATTTCTTTGACAACATTCACTGGACGAATTAAAGGCTTCGCACTTATATCACACCCCACTTTTTATTACTCGGATTCTATTACCAAGCCATTATTATAGATTCAATTCCAGAGATAATATAGATAAACTTTTTACATTAACAAGATACATGAATAAAGATTCTCTCATCCGAATACAATATGAATGCAACATGAGTTATAATTAAATAAATTGTCTGTAGGCTTACATCTTTTAAATTAAAAGAAAGGGTTTAACTCTTTTACATCAATAATATTCCGTTCAAAAAATAAAAGACCATGTGGCCAACAGATAAAGAAGATCCTCAATCTTGAAACACTTCTCAACGTTCACCTGAAAAAAAATTAGCAACGTGGGATAAACATAAAGTCCAGTAAGGATCTCAACATGATCCTAAACAATAATAACATACAAACAGCTATGATCATGAATGCTTTATATCATATCATATACATAATGTGACGGTTTATATTGAAAATATACTTATACAGGTACTTTTCTCAAAATTATTAAATTTACCCAACAACACAAACAATTCACTTTTCTTTCTCATTTCCCATTTATAAATTACACAGCACAACTGGTTCTTTTAAAAATACTTTCACAAAACCCGATGACTTCTCATTATTTACGCCCAATACAAAACATACGTTCACTTCTGATACATTCATCACATTCCCTTGGCCCTAAGTCCATAGTCAAGAAACACTTCTAATAACTCATCCAATACGCCTGTGAACATACATATATGTCCTAACACGAATACGAAATCAATACATGTACAATGATTACTACGCTGTCACATAAAGAAACTCGGCCTTACCCAACCATGACCATCACCTACTCATGATATACAAGGATACACCAAGACAAAATGAGAAACGAAGCAATGTTCTACTTGCCTTAAGCATGGTAAGCCAAGGATACACATTTTCATAATGAAATGCCAATTTACCAAACACAAGCTGGAAAGTAATAGTACCTCTACCGATTTACCAAACATCGGCTGA